TCCCTTTTCCCATCCCAGTTTTTAGGATCCAATTCCCCTTTTCCCATCCCCTGTTTTTTTAGGATCCAATTCCCCTTTCCCTCTCAGTTTTTTGGGATCCAATTCCCTTTTCCCATCCCAGTTTTTAGGATCCAATCCCCTTTCCCATTCCCTGTTTTTGGGATCCAATTCCCCTTTCCTTCTCAGTTTTTTGGGATCCAATTCCCCTTTCCCATCCCAGTTTTTAGGATCCAATCTCCCTTTCCAATTCCCAGTTTTTAGGATCCAATCTCCCTTTCCAATTCCCAGTTTTTAGGATCCAATCTCCCTTTCCAATTCCCAGTTTTTAGGATCCAATCCCCCTTTCCCATTCCCCGTTTTTAGGATCCAATCCCCCTTTCCCACCCCAGTTTTTTGGGATCCAATTCCCCTTTCCCTCTCAGTTTTTTGGGATCCAATTCCCTTTCCCATCCCAGTTTTTAGGATCCAATCCCCTTTCCCACCCCAGTTTTTTGGGAAGCAATTCCCGTTCTCGGGCCGCACGTGCGGCGCCGCCGCTGCCTTTGTTCCCGGGCGGGTGGGAAGGGGAGGGAAAAGGGGGAATTCTGCTCCCAGTTCCCAGATGTCGCTCCCGGCAGCTCGGGCCGTCTGGAGCGGAAACGGGGATCGGGAAAATCCCGCCGCGCTTCTCCCGCCGGGAATTCGGGATTCGGGCACGGAAAGGGGAACGGCGGCAAGGGCTCGGGGGGGCTTGGGAAGCTCTTGGAATTCCCGTTCTTTCTGCCCAAATCCGGGATTTTTCCATGGAAAACTGGATTGGGGGTGCAGCCCTGAAAGGGGAAAAGTGGGAACGGCTGCGGGGGGGTTTGGGAATCTCATGGAATTCCCGTTCTTTCTGCCCAAATCCAGGATTTTTCCATGGAAAACTGGATTGGGGGTGCAGCCCTGAAGGGGAAAAGTGGGAACAGCTCCGGGGGGGTTTGGGAATCTCATGGAATTGCCTAAATCCAGGATTTTTCCATGGAAAACTGGATTGGGGGTGCAGCCCTGAAGGGGAAAAGTGGGAACGGCTCCGGGGGGGTTTGGGAATCTCATGGAATTGCCTAATCCAGGATTTTTCCATGGAAAACTGGATTGGGGGTGCAGCCCTGAAGGGGGAAAAGCGGGAACGGCTCCAGGGGGGTTTGGGAATCTCTTGGAATTCCTGATCCCAAATCCCTGACCCCTTATCCTTGCTCTCATCCCAAATCCCAAATCTCTGCTCCCATCCCAAATCCGTCCTCAAATCTCTGATCCCTGATCCCAAATCTTTGCTCTCATCCCAAATCCCTCCCGTACGGATTTCCTTGGGAAGCTGTGCCAGGGTTTTCCCTGGGATTCCTGGGATTTCCTGTTTCCCGGGATTTGCCTTTCTCACGATTTCCCATTTTCCGGGGTTTCCCCTTTCCCGGGATTTCCCATCCGTTCCCTGTCCCAGGAGGGTCGGGAATGCTCTGGGACTGGCACCGGGATCGGCCATTCCTGACGGATTCCGGGCTGGGAATGGGATTGGAGCTGATCCGGGCCCTGACTCCCCCTGGATCCCAAATTCCCTCTGGATCCCAAAATCCCTCTGGATCCCCAAATCCTTCTGTACCCCTGTAACCTGGATCCCAAATCCCAATATCCTGGATTCCAATATCCCTTTGGATCCCTGTTCCCCCTGGATCCCGAGATTCCAGAGGGGAATTCCTTTATCCCAGTTCCTCCATATCCCAATTCCTCCTGATCTCCTCTGGATCCCAATATCCTGGATCCCGAGATTCCAGAGGGGAATTCCTTTATCCCAATTCCTCCCTAGATCCCAAATCCCCTCTGGATCCCAATATCCTGGATCCCGAGATTCCAGAGGGGAATTCCTTTATCCCAGTTCCTCCCTAGATCCCAAATCCCCTCTGGATCCCAATATCCTGGATCCCGAGATTCCAGAGGGGAATTCCTTTATCCCAGTTCCTCCATATCCCAATTCTTCCTGATCTCCTCTGGATCCCAATTCCCCCCTGGATCCCGAGATTCCAGAGGGGAATTCCTTTTAGGGAGCCGATCCCAGACTCGGAATCCTGGAATGCTGGGGGTTGGGAAGGGCCCTAAAGGGCAGCCCGTTCCCTGGGATCGGCTCTTCCCGTCTGGGAAAAGCCGGGATTTGGGGATTTGGGGATTTGGGATTTGGGATTTGGGATTTGGGATTTGGGGATTTGGGGATTTGGGGATTTGGGGATTTGGGGATTTGGGGATTTGGGGATTTGGGATTTGGGGATTTGGGATTTGGGGATTTGGGATTTGGGGATTTGGGGCGGGAGGGCAGCTCCGGGACGGTCCCAGCCCGGCATTCCCGGCATTCCCGAGGGGCTGCAGCTCAATTCCTCGGGATCAAAGAGGGGGACGGGATTCCCTAAACCCCAAATCCGCCGGAGCGCATCCCGGGAAATCCCGGCACGGAGCGGGAGCGGCGCCGGCCCCGAGCCCAGCCCTGATTCCAGCCCCAATTCCAATTCCAGCCCCCATTCCAGCCCCAATTCCAGTTCTAATTCCAGCCCTAAAACCAATTCCAGCCTTAAATCCAGTTCTAATTCCATCCCCAATTCCAGCCCAAATTCCAATTCTAATTCCAGCCCTAAAACCAATTCCAGCCCCAATTCCAGCCCCAATTCCAATTCTAATTCCAGCCCTAATTCCAGCCCTAAAACCAATTCCAGCCCTAAATTCAGTTCTAATTCCAGATCTAATTCCAGCTCTAATCCCAGCTCCAATTCCAGCCCCAATTCCAGTTCTAGTTCCATCTCTAAATCCAGTTCTAATTCCAGCCCCAGTCCTAGTTTTAATTCCAGCCCTAATTCCAGCCCTAAATCCAGTTCTAATCCCAGCCCTAAATCCAGTTCTAATCCCAGCCCAATTCCAGCTGTGATGGGATTTTATAGGAATTGATGGAAAATGAGGGGTGGGAATTCATTGGGATTGATGGCGAATTGACACCGGGAGTTTACAGGAATTACAAAATTAAGGACGGGGATTTGTAGGAATTGATCCAAAATTGGCAATGGAATTTACAGGGATTGATGAGAAATCAGTGATGGGGATTATTGGGATTGGGGGAAATCAAGGATGGGGATTTGTAGGAATTGATCCAGAACTTGGGATGGGAATTATTGGGATTGGGGAAAATCAAGGATGGGGATTTGTAGGAATTGATCCGGAATCAAGAATGGGGATTTGTAGGAATTGATCCAGAACTTGGAATGGGAATTATTGGGATTGGGGAAAATCAAGGATGGGGATTTGTAGGAATTGATCCGGAATTAAGGATGGGGATTTGTAGGAATTGATCCAGAACTCGGGATGGGAATTATTGGGATTGGGGAAAAATAAGGATGGGGATTTGTAGGAATTGATCCAGAACTCGGGATGGGAATTATTGGGATTGGGGGAAATCAAGGATGGGGATTTGTAGGAATTGATCCGGAATTAAGAATGGGGATTTGTAGGAATTGATCCAGAACTCGGGATGGGAATTATTGGGATTGGGGAAATCAAGGATGGGGATTTGTAGGAATTGATCCCTGGGGATGTCCTGGGAGCATCCCGGGACAGGGGAAGATGTCCCTGACTGCAAGCCTGGAAAAATCCCTGGGAATTCTGGAATGGGGTTGGATTTAGGGTCCCTCCCTGGCCAGAGCATTCCCAGATTCCCGATCCCATTCCCAGCTGGGATCCCATTCCCGGCTGTTCCCAGCAGCCTGGGCAGGGCCATTCCCAACATCTGGGCTTTTCCCAAATTCCCCTTTTCCCAAATTCCCCTTTTCCCCAATTCCCCCTTTCCCAAATTCTCTTTCCCAAACCCCGGAGCTGTCGGGCTTTGGGAATGGTTTGGTTGGAAAATTCCGGAGTTTGATGAGCCCAAAATCCTTCCCGAGGATTTTCCGTCCCCTCCGGGTTATCCGGGATCAGCCGGATCCCGATCCTGCCCCTCTGCCCTTGGAATGGCCCCGCTCCCAGGGCGGGAATTTGGGGAATTTGGGATTTGGGATGCGGCAGGAAAATCCCGCTGGATTTTCCCTGCTGCACCTGCAGGGAGGTCCCAAAATCCTGGGAATTGGGAGAGGAGAGGGAATCCCAAAATCCAGGGAATTGGAGAGGAGAGGGAATCCCAAAATCCGAGGAATCAGAGAGGGAATCCCAAAATCCAGGGAATTGGAGAGGAGAGGGAATCCCAAAATCCGGGGAATCAGAGAGGGAATCCCAAAATCCAGGGAATCGGAGAGGAGAGGGAATCCCAAAATCCAGGGAATCGGAGAGGAGAGGGAATCCCAAAATCCAGGGAATTGGAGAGGAGAGGGAATCCCAAAATCTGGGGATTTGGAGAGGAGAGGGAATCCCAAAATCCAGGGAATCGGAGAGGAGAGGGAATCCCAAAATCCAGGGAATTGGAGAGGAGAGGGAATCCCAAAATCCAGGGTATCCCAAAATCCAGGGGCACTGGGATTGGGAACTGGGATCCCAGTACGGAGTTACTGGGAGCACTGGGAGCTGATCCCAAATCCGTGTCCCATTTTTCCAGGACCTTTCCCGGTGCCCATTCCCGGCTTCTCTCCCGTCCCTTTTCCCGCAGCTCCAGAGAGGATTTTCCATGGATTATTCATGGATTTTCCATGGATTTTTCCATGGATTTTGGAGTTGCCTCGGGCGGGCTCAGCTGTCCCTGCAGCTCCCAGCGGGAGTGGGCAAACACCGGGATAAACCCGGGAATTGTCGGGATAAACCCGGGAATTGTCGGGATAAACCCGGGAATTGTCGGGATAAACCCGGGAATTGTTGGGATAAACCCAGGAACTGCCGGGATAAACCCAGGAATTGTCGGGATAAACCCGGGAATTGCTGGGATAAACCCGGGAATTGTCGGGATAAACCCGGGAATTGTTGGGATAAACCCGGGAATTGTCGG